CAAATACAATAGTATTAAAATCAGAACAAAAAGATTTCTAGTAAAGTCTTTCATGCATGCCTGCCTTAAATATTTTAGAGATGCTTATCAGCATGTTATTTAAACACTAAACAGCAATTAGAGAGAACCTCTTTTATCCTACTGTGTGCTTGCTTATAACATGGATATTGTTGGTTTTGTAAATTTTAATGATCCACGTAGAGATTATTTACATACTTGTGGAACATCCAGTTAAAAGACTTTCCGTGTTGTTTTGAAGTAAAATGCCTGTTATCCAAATGCTCTCCAAAAATATGTTTGTCTTGTGTTTAGGACTTGAAAGAGTAGCCTGGACGGGGATTTCTCAAAGGAAAAATGAAGGGTCAAGAACAGAGTTCCCTGTGAGAATTAATCTTTGTTCATAAAATGAGGATGTATTTCCACTTGAGGAAACAATTTAGTCATTCTTGAAAAATATTTCCATTAACCTGTGACTCAGACTGGACAGGTAGAGTAAAACAGCGTTGACTTTACTGAAAACTTAGGTTTGTCAGCATTACCTTAGCAAACACAGAATTTACTAAATGAAATCACTGGCTGATAGCATTTCCAACCAGTCACTTCTTTCATATTTTTCATTATGATGATTTAGAAACTTTTTTCCTAAAAAGTGATGCTGTCAATATCTCTCCATTTAGGGACTTGCTTTTATAATGATGTACTTGTTAGGACAACTGTAGCATTAAAATACTGAAAACGGTTTCAGAGAAGCATCCCTCCTATATGCAGGCATAGTGAGCACAGAAATAGTCCTTTCATTTCTGTGGCCATCAATGGCTGTGTTTAGTTTGTCACTGCCTTGTTGTTTAACCCGAGAGCCACCTTCCTCTTAGTTCTAGGTGGAGTAACCCCTCCTACTTCAGAATGTCAAATCAGCAAATAAAAGAAATTTTAAAAAAATGAAAGACTTGGGGTAATTGACCATAAAACAGCATACCCAGGATTGTATATCTCTAGAAATGTGTAAATCAAGCTTAGACATTTTCTAACAGGAATGCTCCTCTTTAAACAGTTTGCAGTATTTTGGGTAAGTTGCATGTGCTGTGTCCCATGGGACATCAGCTTACACGCGCTCTATGGCCTCCTAGCCCATGAATCTTCATTTTCTTGCTGAGAATTCAGGCTCCATTTGTACCTGCCTGTACCAGCAACCTTCTGTAAGGAAGCAAGGGGTACTGGGACTATTTGCTGAGATGATGCGTTGGTTAATGAGAGACAATTTCAAGGTAGATATATGCTCTTTGCCTGCTTCTACCTGCTGTAAAGAATTTCTAGGAGCTTTGGCTCCATTTCCTTCCCTGAGGAGGAGATGGGCCACGGCGGATTATTGCTGGAAAAGGCTAGATGGCAGGTTTGGTTCTGTTTTGTTCCGTCTTCTGTCCTCCTTAACTACCGAAGTGATGACAGCCCAGCAGCTGGCAGTGCTGCAGTTCCTGCTGCCTCTGCTTCCCTTTAAAGGCAGTATTAGCCAGGCTTTTGCAGTTCCTGTTGTTTATTTTGGTTGACCCTTTATGCTTCTCTGAAAAATGCGTGTAAAAGAAGAGAAATACCAACATGTAACACTTGATATTTCGGTGAAATTTGAAATAGAATTTCTTGAGACATCGAAGAGACACCTTGCTAGCATGAAAGTTATATCCCTGCTGA